TTTTAATAATGAAATGGAGATCTTTTTAAAGGTTAAAACATCATTTAATTTATGTCTTATAGGGTTTATACTGAGTACAATATTGTATAATTATATTAATTCAACTGTAAACCTAAAAATTTACAGCCAATTTTGAAAATGATGCATCCTACCTCAGGAAACCGTTATTGAATATGTCAATTGTGTTGTAATGATATGCTTCTTCTACGTATGTTGTTATTAAATAAATAATTTTTAAAAATTAAAAAAAAAGATCAGAATTTCTTGTCATAAGTTTTGCAGGTTTTGAAGGAGAACACTAATATTTAATAGCTCTTACCAGGGCAATGCCTTTGTATGTAAAACCAGTAGAATTCCCTTTGTCTAAGCTATTAGCACTGACAGTACAGGAAACATTAAGACTTTAGATTAAAAATAACATGTTTTAGTCATTTCAAATTGTTCTCTAGGAGGCAAGAAACTGGCTTAGGTCTTCTTGGGAGTCGGCTTTTTTCACGTATCCCAGAAAAAAAAAAAAAAAAAAAAAAAAACACAATAATGAGAACACCCTAGATCATACAGGTGACAGATGAGAAATTCACCAGTGTTTCAAGATGAATCTCACCAGGAGACCCAGATACTTCAGGACTGACTGAGACGTAGCTGTCACTGGTCATCATTAGGAGCCCGAGGAGTTCTAAGCCATAGAGAACTCTACTTAAGCCAAACCAGCATTCCTGGCTTTAATTGTTGAAGGGAATATTAAGAATAGCTAGTACAATAGAGATAATTTTAATGTAGACTTAGACAGGAGAGATAAGGAAAAAAAAAGTATCTCAAAGGAAGAGAAAATAAACTATATCCAACCTTCCTGGAAGAAAAGTAGTTTCTCTTAAAGCAGGACATAATCTATTTATGTATACAGCTTTGTGCCAGGAGATAATGAACAGACAGTAAGGTCAGAGAAAGATAAGACTAGTCTTAGAATTTATCTTTAGTTCTGACACAATTTCTAAAAATTTTAAATTCATTTAAATATTTTCCTTTATTTATGAAAAAATTTCACATTTTAATTAAAGCAGACTTCCTAGGTGATGTTTTCAAATGTTATTGCCTAGGACTTTTAGTTAAGCACGCAGAAAAAATTCTCAATTTTGGAGCATTAAATATTCCCCACTGAGGGGCCAAGTTATCTTTGGTTAGATCACCCCATTTTTCTAAATTCTTGCAAGTTGAAAGCTCATAATTATACATAAAGCCAGCTATACTGTCAGGTGGAAGTTTATATTCAAACACTTCCTCCTTTTTGGAAAACTTGTTTTCCATTTTATTGACTAATTTATTTCTTTTCTCCTGAGAAATTTCAGCCTTTCTATGCTGGCTGGGGAGTATGTGTTTTACATCTTATTTATGTGCTGCTTTTGGGGATGGACTTTCTTAGCTTTCACACTCAGACTGTCTTCTCCTACTAGGTCTCAGGGTTTCCTACACACTGTTAGAAACATGAGGCTGCTCAAGACACTGGGTGATCAACCCTTATGTGTGTCTTCCTGGACAAGCTAATAAAGTTCCTTCTGACCCAGGAACGGATAGGTTTATGGGTTCCCTTATGAGGCTGTTACTCGTCTGAGGAGTTCCCCCTGAGTGGAGGGAACAGTGCCTCTTGTCTTCGGAGCCTTTATGATCAGGCACTTCTAATATTCTTAAGCGAAAGGTGTCAAGGTTGCAAAAAGCCAGGAGAAATCACAGAAAAAAACAAAAATGCAAATTTAGGTATTGGAGGAGTGTCTGGAGACAAAGGCCAACTGAATACAAACATCAAAAACAGAACCACCACAGACAATAAACAAAAAGCAAAATCCCTCAAAGTTCTAGAAGCCCCCAATATTAAAACAAGGCAAGCAATCAGAAACAAATTGCTTCTGAAGCAAACAAAAATGGATACTTTAAAGCAAGCACCTTAAAAACACACAAGAAAACAAATATCTAAACAAATAAGTGCCTTAAAATTGGCAGACTACCTTAACTTGGATTTTTACATTTTCTTTTATTTGTAAGTTAAAGGAACATACTCATCAACCCTAAAACCAGCCAGAATACAAAATATCTGTTTTTCTTAAAACAGTTCTCCATTCCATGAATTAGTTATGGGAGAAGTGTTCAGAGAAAAGAAAGGAAAGAGAAAGAAAAAAGTGACTGCTGGAAAATTGTAACAAACAAGAGGTCAGCAACAAAAAATACTTTCAAAGCAAACAAATAAAGTAGATACCTAAAACAAACACTTCGAAAGTAAACCAAAAACAATAAGGGTATCTAATAAGTAGGATCCTTAAATAACCAGCTCAGAATAAACAAATGGACCTTCAACCAAACCAAGGGAGGTCCGAGAGCCCCAGAAAGAACTCGCCAGAATGCATCAGAAGAGACTCTATCAGATGGTTGGACTCAATGGATCCATGCCAGTACATGCTCCACCCAGGTGACTCCTCTGATTAAAAGCAGGTAATTCTTGGGGCCCCACATTGTTGGGTGCCATAAACTGTCTATGCAAAACATAACTCTGACCTCAAAGGGGATAATGGATAGTTTATTCTGGAGCCAAATATGAGTGAACATGGCCTGGGAACACAGATTCAGGTTACCCCAAATTCCATGTTCCAGTATGGTAACAGTTACCTTACATTTTTATAGTAATAGAACAAAGAAACGTCATAAATCAAGACACTTTTCAAATACATCGGAGGATACATTCAGTAGGTGGGTCCCAGAAAATCAAAGTTTTTTTTTTACTGTAGGTCTCAGTTGCTATCTGATGACATTCTTAGCCTTTTGATCGCTAAGACTGGGTGTTCTGCTAGGATAATATATTCTAAAAAGTTTTTTATCTGTTAATCACAGGATGTTAGATCAGAAACAGAGGTGGGTAAGGAATGACTGTTTAGGGGGCTAAAGATGGACTGAGATAAATGATAATTAGACTCTGGACCTGCAACATTCCGCACTCTTCACAGTCTCAGGATTGATAATCAGTTGGTCAGCCCCACAGGAAGTTCAGTACAGGTGCAGGAGTTCTTTTGGGGAACTTTTCTTTCATACTCTCATCAAGAAATTCCAATGTACTCTGATATGAACATTTGAAATTTGGCCTGTTTTGACTTTTTTCTGGTTCCCTGACTAGAACTTGTAATGCTAATTACTCTTTCCTTTACTTCTACTTTACATCCCTTATTCACCAGTTAAGGACCTTCTTCTTTTCTCCCTCCAGATAAGAGTTATGCAATTTGGGAGTCTTTTAGGTAGACCCACTGAAGGAGTACTCCAATTGCCTCACACGGTGTCCCTGCTCAGCATGGCAGCAGCCAGAGTGGTGCATCCTGATTCCGTATAGGCAATTTGGGTAACCTCTTCAGAGGATGGTGTGATAAGTATAGGAGGTAGGAACTGGCTAGGCAGTTAGGGTAAAAAGACCCCCAAAGAAAAGTAGCCAGTTTCTTGGCTAAAAATCAAAATGTTCTTGGTCTCTTAGCAACATACTCTGTTCCAAAGGCCAAAACTGTCTAAAGTATTTGGGAGCTCTTATCTAATCCCTAAAATATTTTAGGGATACCTCTTGGGGGGGGTAGAGTATCAAAAAGCTCCATTAAAAAAAAAGAGAATACAGGAAGTTGTTCAGGAAAAAGTGATGGGGAGATATGGAAAGCGTTGGAGGGGAGGAAGTGGGCATGGATTTGATCAAAACACCTTGTATGCATGTATGAAATTCTCAGCAAATTAAAAAAAAATCTGAGTGGTCAATTCCTTCAAAACCTGCTCATGGTATGCTTCAGAAGTTCATCTTTGTGCAAATGTGTGTGTGTGTGTGTGTGTGTGTGTGTGTGTGTGTGTCTGCTCCTAATTCAAATTTACCCCTGGAATGAACAGGGTCAGCCAGCATCCTGGCCACAGACACCTAGCTGGGACTCCAGGAGACCCTGCATCCAAATAAAATGATTATAGTCTTATCAGCTGGAAGCTACAGAATCCACACTGAAGACTGTCTGTGAAATGTCGAAGCAGGAGTTGACTGGCCCCAATGCTAGCATCTAAATCTCCAGTTTCAATATTCAGAAGACATATTTTGTCCTTTCTATTCGAATGGATCTATCCTTGGGGCTTCAATAATTGTGCCATTTGTCTTTTAAAGATACTTAGCAAGGGAAATGGCTCAGTGGGTAAAGGCCTGATTACCATAGGTCTACTCCTTAAACCCACATGGAGGAAGGGAAGAGCTCCCACAAGTGTCTTCTGTCTTCCGACCTCCACATGTGCCTAGTATACAAAGGAACACACATTCTCTCCTCTCTCTCCCCCTCCCTTCCTCCCCAGTAAATAAGTTTCAAAAAACAACAACTGAAATTTAGCATTTCAGCTTTAACTTGTACCTTCAGCTCCACTGACAATTTGGACAACTTGGCTGTCCCACCTCTGATTCCTCCCCTAATATAGGAGCTTCTTTTATGACACTCGTATATGCGTTTTAACACTGCGAACTACCTCAGCAAAGTTTAAGTAGTGTCATAAGACATAAATGAGGCCACAATGACAAACTTCCACTTGAGCACAAGGCTGTAGCTGGGTATGAATTCTGTGCAGAAACCCAGGTCCTCCTACTACCCCTTTCCTTCCCCATAGCTTGGACTCAGGTGAGGGGGTGGGTGGGTGGCCCTCTGCAGGTACTCTGCAACAACAACGTCCTGAGAATAAGGAGCCTCTCCTGTCTTAATTCCAATCTGTGGTTCCCTCTGACGCAGGTGCCAGCTGAGCCCCTGCATAGGGCGGTGCCAAACTGCACGCCTGCACCATGCTAGTGGCGCCGCAGAGCCCGCCTGGCTGCTGGGGGAGGCGCTCTCAGCTCCTCCATCAGATCCCAGCCTCGAGATCCTCCCACCACCTCCTGCTGCGCCATGGGGAATGTACCATCCGCGGTGAAGCACTGCCTCAGCTACCAGCAGCTCCTCCGCGAACATCTCTGGACAGGGGCGCTGGACTCGGCGCAGGTACGCCCTCGCGGCCTAGGGTGTCCCCACCCTCTTGCACGCTGCTAAACCTGCCCCCTCCCACCAATCTCTCGCTGCCCTCTTTCCCCTTTGTGTTACCTCCTTTCTCCAGGGCCCTGCCTGCCGCGGTTCGGTTGTTTGTGTGAATCCTCTGCTATGAACCTGTAGACTGGACCGCACAAACCTAGCTCCTTGCATATGCAGGCGCCCTAAAGGAGAGATCAGGGGTTTTCTTTAGAAGAAATTCATTATCTAACATAATTTAGACCCACGGGCATTCTTTCAAGGACACTGCCCTTATCCTCACTTTCTTCCTTGGGTTGTGTGACAGACTACAGATGTGTCACCTTACAAGGTAGAAGAAAGAATCTATAGGCTAGAAGGGACGCTAGGGTTAAAATTACCCATCAGAGCATTAACTACCCCTACTATCTTTTTGTATCAATAAAATTGAGCAAAAGAGTAAAAGCACCATTACAGAATACAATTTATTCCTGTTATTCATGGAAGTCCACCTAATGTTCCCATATGTGTGGTTTAATGTATTGTTCCCCAATGTGCCAGTTAAGTGAGAAAAGAGGAAATTTACTTATTTATTAATTTATTATTTATTTATTTATTTTTGAGGCATGGTCTACTTGTAGCCCCAGCTGCCCTGGAAATCATTATGTAGACCAGGCTGGCCTTGAACTCACAGAGGTCTGCCTGACTCTGCCTCCTGAGTGCTGGGATTAAAGCCGTGTACCACCACGCCCAGTAGAAATTCACTTTTCACATAAAAGCTTAATATTTTAAAAATTCATAAGCTATAAAATGATGGTGATAATTGCAACATAAATGTTTAAACATGTTACAAGTGAAGAACTCTGTTAGGGCTTAGTTATCTTGTTTTCGTTATAGCTCCTATTATTGGAGTATTTTAGTACTTTGGCATAATTTTTCTCTGTGGTATTAAGGAAGCTATTCTAATAGCAGTAACTCATTCTCTTAGAGTTCAGTGCAGGCTCAAGCGTACAGGCTTAGCTCAGTGTATCAATATATGCTGTCAAACCCTTAGCTACGCCAGTAAGACTTGCAGCACATATGGATTGTTTAAAGGATATTTTGGCCAGGACTATTCACAATAGTAATCAGTCTATATTACCATCAACAGATGAGTAAGGAAAATATGGCATATGTACAGAGTGGATTATTATTCAGCAATAAAGGAGAATATAAAGAAGAATAAAATCAAGGCCTTGGCAGTATCTAATTAAGTATATAAAACAGGAAGTCATCATGTCATGTGAAATCAGCTGGACCCAGAAAGACAAGTATTGCATGTTTCTTGTGTGTGTAGACTCTGTGGAGGGCAATCATGAAAGGAGAATGGGCAATTAGGGAAAAACACAATGAATAAGAAAATGAAGGATGTAAATATGATCAAAGTGTGTCCTATTCATGCATTGAAGTGTCATAACAAAACTCATTATCTTCTATAATTAACCTATACTAATAAAAATCACAACCCAGGGCCACTTAAAACCTGCTGATTACAATAGTGGTGTGGAAAATTACCTTTAATCTTTCACATGCCTACATGTCTATTTAATTTTCTTATATTCATTTTGAGCTTCCTAGAACACTATTAACATTAATATCTTGTCTTTTACATAATCCAGAATCCTTTTATGTAATCCAGAATCCTTTTACATAATCCAGAATCTTTCACATTTATTTTTCAAGCTGAAATCACATCAGTTTTGTTGCTTAGGTGAACATTATAGTTCTCGATGTCCCCCAATGTTTTGATTTATACATTTGAGGACTTGGGAATAGGGATAAAAGGGGTAAGTAAGAGTGTCCATTTTGCCTGTTAAGATGAAGAAACAGTCATGGCTTCTGGAAGGGGAAAAGACAGTGCCTTCGGGGATCATATGCTTAGTGGGCCCAGTGGATGGACCTGTACTGAAAGTCATCTGGGGACACAAATCAGACTCTATAGGCTGGGATATATATATATATAAAATTGGGCAGGGGCCAGTGGGGGACAGATGTGGACAAGGGAAGGGATCTAAATACCACTAAACTGTATTGTATGAAATCTCAAAAAATTCAGTAAAAAAAAACCACGAAAATTTAAAGTGAAAATTCAGTAAAAAGGAATTTAAAAAGAAAGTGTTTAAAAGAAAATGTAAAATAAAAGATGAAGATGAAGAAACAAGACAAATGAAAATGGCTGGAATTACTGATGAAGAAACATGAAGCATATGATTTAGGGGCCCTCATTGCCTACTGCAGACACCTTTGTGCTTTTCTGGAAAAATAGTTAAACCTTCTCTAAATACTCTCGTTTCAACTCCTGCCAAATCTTGTGCCCAGGGAACTCCTATTCACCCCTCAGTTACAGTTTTAGAAGCACTTCTTTGGTCCAGCCCTTTGTTCCCTAAGCCCTTGGCAGAGTCAGTGACCTTCATCTGTCCAGATCCTCAAGATTGTGTGTCTTACTGCCTCATACCTCCAATAACAGTTCCAGTTACTATTTGTAGATTTATATACCCAGCTCTCTTCTGAACACAGTCCTTTGCTCAGCTACTTATCAATATCTCCAATCAAATAGCTCAAAAAAGTTGAAACAACATTTAAAGATTTGCATTCATTTTCACTTTTTCCAAATCTGGGCTTTCACCCAAATTTCCTGTGGTAAAAAATCCCATCACAATGTATTCATTTCTGCAAGCCCCAGATGGAAGTCTCTTTTCCCCTCATTTCCCTCACTTTCAAAACATCACAGAATCCTACAATTTTGTTTCTTGAAATTCTTTCAAATTTGTCTACTTTTCCACTTCCTTACCACCACACGTTTTAAAACGGCATTATCTGTCATCATACAAATGACTACATGTGTTGCAGTACTCGATACTCTCCATTTGTCTGTTTTCAACCCACTCTCTATATCTACAGTTGGGAAGTGTACTTTACAAGAATCATGCCCTTCTCCTGCATCACAACTCTTTGTGAATTCCCACTGTATTTAGGAATGGAAAACAAAATAGTCAATGAGTTCTCTGAAGACTCAGATGGTCTTTCGTGCCGTTTCTCAGCAGCCATTTAACCTACTCTATCTTGCTCTTGCCCTATTAGCCACAGTGGCCTTTGAGTTCTCTATGAAATGTTCCCTTTGCTTGTTTCAAGCGTCTGCTAGAAGTTTTTTTTTTTTAAACTAATTAGCTTTTATTCAGTCAACTCAAACTCTCAATTTGAATGTCATTTTCCCATAAGCTTTTTCACACTCTCAAGACCATCAGCCTTTGTTATGATTTTATTACATAGTGACCTATTGTGTATGAGAATATATATTTATTTGGTGATTATTTCATGTATAATATCAGATAATAAGCCCAATAAAACCCAGAAAGCAATCTATCGTGGGATTTCTCATACCGAACAAAATGACTGTAGTTCCTAATGGTGAATGAGTTGAATAAATGAATGATTAATTTGTTAACGTATTTACTAAACAAAGGAAAGACTAGAGATGAACTTTTAGAAAGGAAACAAGTTCTTACCTCACTGTTTTCTACTTATTTGGCTGCTCTTTGTTCACTTCCTCCCTATTTTCTTCATTTTGGGGTTTATTATGTATTTTATTATTAGTTTATCTTCATTTTGGGGTTAATTATGTATTTTATTGTTAATTTCTCCCACTGCATCTACATGCTACTTGTACACTGTCTTTACTATGCTCTTAGTTGCTACCTATATCAGTACCTAACCTTGACTTATTAAAATATCGTGTAACTAGTAATAATATGGGGAACATACAGCACCTTACCTCCTCTTTTTGGCTGTTGACTTTTGGATTTCATTGTCCTACGTATTCTTTCTCTACACGGAACTTATTCAAAATTATTTACATTTTTTATTTGCTTATATATTTTCCTTTCTTTTGTTCATCATTAATTTCTTCATTTCCACTTTTATGTATGAGATTACGTTTTGTATATGAGATTATGTTTATATATGAGATTATATGTTTTCAAACAGAAGTATTCACTTTAATATTTTCTTTGGCAAAAACCTGCTGGTATGGGTTGGTGATATGGTTCAGTGGGTAAAACCAGTTGCCACCAAGCCTGGTGATCTCAGTTCAGTCCTGGGACCTACATGGTAGAAGGAGAGAACTGACTCCCACAAGTTGTCCTCTGACCTCTAAACATATTCTCTCTCTCTCTCTCTCTCTCTCTCTCTCTCTCTCTCTCTCTCTCTCTCCCCATATACCCCCAACTGCCAGATAATAAATAATTAAAAATAAATAAATAAATAAAGTAAATAAATACATGTGATTTAAAAAAAAAATTAAAAACACAAGCTACTGGTATCCAGGCCTGGTCACCTTGGTTTATAATGCTAACTACTTGGGATGCTGCAGAAAATAATTTGTGGGACACTGTGAAAATTAGTGAAACACTATCACCAAATAAAAACAATTTTAAAGGTCTGGGGATAAAGATCAGAGCTCGAGTGATGGCCTAGCATGCACAGGTCTCTGAGTTCAAACTTTGCTACTTTGCATCTTTCAATGAATATGTAGTAAAAAATATAATTTATATAATATAAAACCTATAAGTGGATATTAAGTATAAACATGCACATATGAATAATTTAAGTATATAACAGCAGTACAAAATGTAAATTTCTCAGAAGTCACAACATAAAATTCAAAAAAGGAGTATCAATTTTTCTTTTTTGTTATCTGATATTAATGTGTCTTTCACTCTCTTTCAAAAGAGAAATGGTTTTGGTTCCCAGTCGCATACGTGGAGACTTTTCTCACTTGTCTAGCTAGTGCTTTTCAGCAATTCTTACCTCTTCAGCTAGACGCCTGTTGAATTGTCACATTTCTTTCTGCCTTTTCAATTCTTTTTTTGTCTTTACATGTTCAGTATGGATATTTTCTTTTTATGCTCTTTTCACTCTTTCTTCAATTTTATCTAATTTGTTGTCAATCTAATTTATTA